TCCGCCGACGTTTCGGTTACCCACGGTGCAGAGACTTGTTCCTTACGAAAACAGAAGTGGTAGACTGTCGGTGTTCCAACACCGCTGTAGACACCACATTGTACGAATCCAATGGGAAAACCGGATAAGCAATGGTAAAATTAGATGCAGATCTAAGTAATCGTGGTCGATCACTGGAGCAAGTGGCTGACTTCCTTAGATGACGTTAGTTTGGGTATGTGTTACAAATGCCATCAAATAAATTGCTATGGTGAAGAAATTTCACGTAATTAAAAAGGCGGCTGTCGTAGTGAACCGGCAAAATAAAGCTCCGTCACTCCAGTTTTCTGGTGATCGATGTCTCACCGCTTACATCTGACAGTATGATGTTTTTCATTCGACTATCACGGTACACTCACGTGGCAACAAACAATTGATGCAGCACCATGCTAGCTGCACCGCAAGTCACATGAGTATTTGATCGTACTACTCACGCAGAGTTCCTGCGACTGTAAAGATGTGTTCAAGGAAAGGGTTTAATGGTGGACACGTGAAAAGAAAACTACGTAAGAGACATATATATAAGATAAAATAGAGATCCTATAAGCCACTGGGCGTCTTGAACACAGAGAAAGAACGACGGATTTGCACAGCTGATGACACGCGACAGCCTAGAAATGGGTGCATCCGCTGTTCTGACTAAAGATTCCCAAAATTCAGATCTAAATCGAAAATCGGTTATAAATCAACAACAACGCTGATGCTTTTCACGGTATGCTATTAAATGCTTTTTTGTAACTGTATCCAATGGCGGAATAAAATAACACCCTGAAAGGCTGGATTCGGGTGGTTAGTAAACAAATATAAGCAGTCGAAAATGAATGGTGAGAAACAGTAGCTTGACGGTGGCTGAGAATTGAGATATAGCAGTTGACAACTTGATGAAAACAGGGTAATTAAAAGAAAAAATGGAAACAAGTGTAAATTATGGATAGAACTTATTTTTTCTAATTGAACAAGGAAACAAATGAGAAAAGTTTGGCATACCAACTGTTTCGACCAGAACAACATCGTAACCGGCAGCTTCACAGAGCAAAACTGCCTCGTTCGTCGATCTTGCTACACCACCCAGGTTACCGCCGCTCGGTGAAGGTCGCACATAGGCATTTAAATCACGGGACAGTTCGTACATTCGGGTTTTATCGGCAAGCAAACTGCCACCAGTAGTCGAGGAGGAGGGATCGACGGCCAGCACGGCTACGCGATGTTTTTGCTCCGGTACTGGAATAGCAGGTTCTGACTTATTTTCCGACTCCTTTTCTCCCAATTTACGACGCATAGTGATCCATGGCACAGTTCCAGTAAGACGACTACCCAAAGCCTCGATAAATGTGCTTTTTCCAGCACCCGGAGGACCGGAGAGACCTGTGTTTCAAGGATATTCACATTCAGGATGATAAAATGTATACAAAGTAAAACTGCATAATATTTCACAGTATTCATGGTCAGGTAGCGCGATCATTGACCGCATCTTTTATTTACAAAAGCCTTATTCGCTGTTAGCAGAAAGTCTACTGCCTATCCATAACTCCAGAGTGATTGTTTGCTCGCCTATCGCAAGTCTACTAAATGAAAAACCGTCCTTAATAAATGTCGGGGCATGCGGTTGTAACCGTACAAAGTGAAATAGTCATTCATCGAATACCTAGGACGAGGGAATAGCTTAGGTTGATTCCTTTCCATTTGAAGCCCACCACACGGTTTCGAGGAAAATAAGTGGCAAAAGCTTTATATTGTGAGGATAGAAAAAGGAATGAAGATGGATATATCAAGGTAACCGTTAAGAGAGATCAAATGGATCCGGGCATTGGTGGTTCAAACCCGAAACGGAGCCTATCGGCGATAGAGACAGTAGTGTTTGAACTACCACACAATTGGCATGCTGACAAGTCATCTGTGAGAGGCTGGTTGCTACAATTCAGAACCTAAGAGTTTTTAAATTTCTGCTTACAGAATGCTAAACCAATTAAAAAAAACTGAAACTTGAGGCGAATCATGAAATTAAACTACCTCTGGCGAATGTTTCATCTAAGCGATGTTTTATATTCGAATGGTGAAAAGTTCAGTAGCCTCGGTGAGATTGGAACGCACGCATGGACGACGCCAATGCTATTGTACAGCGCACGTTATACCAGCTGAGCTAAGAGACCACACCGACGACAGTGATCTTCGTACATTTCGGTAACCCATCCAATTTAGCACGGCACATTGAATCCGCCAGCTAGCAAATAAGCATGTAAGGTTCTAAATAGTAAGCACGGCAGTGAAGGTGCGTTTTAGTATATTTTGTTGAGTAGAGAGAGAAACTTGAGTTTTTCTGAGCAGTGCAAAATTTTCTGGAATACCAATTGTATTATCGATAAGAATCAATTGTGGATCTTTTCAGTCGTACAAACGTCAGGAGGTACTTCCAAAGTACAAATCTATTACTGAGTAATTTTCTGGGAGCAACACTCAGTCGACGGTGAGCGTCTAGTAGTTACAGACACCGAAATAGCGACCAGGAATGACCGAATTCGAACCGCTCCACTGCTGCCCATCTTCCCCATTCCTGTATTTTTCCAGGCAACCTTTGTATCGCCGCGACGACCCCTACCGGAAAACTGACTGTACATTTGTATATTCAATAAATCGCAAGGAAAATAATAAGACATTTATTTTTTAATTTACACACTAAATCAATACGACGAATAATACGAGTGCAATCACGTACGGTGAGCAATACACATTTGAGGATTTTACGATCAGAGATTATGCGCGAGTAAGTAGTTGACGATTTCAATAAATTAAAAAAGGAAGTTCATAGCATACAGGGTGCAATCAATGTGAAGTTAAAAGGGCGGATGCATCGCAGTCGTTCCGGTTTTGTGGGATCTTATCAGCAGTGCACGTTCAGTGATGCAAATGGAGATCAAATCCGAGATCTGAGGGTTTATGAGACCACGCTACCCAGTTCAGTTCAGCTTTTACAACCATTAACCA